GGATTGGAGTCAGGGGCGTTGGAGAAGAGGGGACCCTAAGAGAGGAAGGGCAGAAGGAAGAGGGTTATGTTTTTGTTGTTATTTAGAGACATATTAAATAAAACCAAAATTATATTTCAAAAACATTTTCTTTGTGGGCCCCACCTTCCCCAACAGAAAAAATTCTGGAGATTTCTTTTTTTTTTTTTTCGAAGATTTATCATAAAATTCCCGTTCGTCTTCTACCGGACAAGAATTTTAGGGTTAAATCATTTCGAGGCAAGTAAAATATTCGACATGTATGGTATTTTAGAACGACGGTATTACTCTCCTCTCCTCTTTTCGATATCAACTATGTCAAGTTGATACTCATCTGGACGATGGTAAAATGATTCTCCTCTCTTTTCAATGATGACGATGACAAATTAAATAATTATGGATTTTGGAAGTTATCCGCTCCTTTTTTTTGTTTTTTTTAATGATTTGAGCTCAACGCTTTCGAGAATATTTCAATATATTAGCTTTTATTTACGACCATGAATTAATAATAACTTAAAATATTGAATGCTTTTTCAGTATTGTTTGGATGAATTTGATTGTATTTTGTTTTTGTGGAATTGAAATAAATTAAAAATAAATAAATAATGAATAGATTAATAATAATTGAGTAATTATTTTGAATGTATCATCTCTCCCACACTCACTCTCAGAATAGCTGTCATTTGAACACACCACTGTTCTACGCTTCTGCCACACTCCCTTTTTTTCACTTCCCATTACTTCAGCCGACATATGACTTTACTCTCACTAATCCTCTAAACTATCCGTACCAACTCGAAAATATAATCCGAGTTTATAAATTTTAAAATCAAGAATAATTATCGATATATTCCCAACTCGATAATAGTTTGATTGGTTCGATGGAGAAGTGTTCATACGACTAAGAACTCGACTAGCTCATACTACCAAACTTGAACTTTTATGAAATTACATACAATATATATATATATATATATATATACACACACACACACGTACGTATATGGGCAACGAATAATAAAATTATCACTAAATTTATTCGTTTTTCTACTACTTCGTGCAAGATTTTTTTTCACTGGAAATTCACTGTACCCCTTTTCACAGCATGTCTAAGGTTGAGCCGTGAGATTTGATGGAGGACTTAAAAAGCCACCTACAAACGTTTTACGCCCAATCATTTCGGATAACGCTTGCATTATGTGTATTACCATATATACATGTATGTATATAAAAGTTACATTTAAGAAAATTAGAAATATTAATATTTCTAATGAGGGTTAGTGATTGACTTGAATATTTAAATGAGGGTTATGGATAAATATGTTTTTTTTTTTTAATTAAATAAGAAGAAAAAAAACCCGACTTTGGTTGGATTGTGAACTTTATTCAAGTGGTTCGAGTCATCAACTCGACCACTCTCAAATTTCAAATTGGAGCAAACAATTTTTCTAACTCAACTCATGACGTAAATTTTTTAAGACCGAAAATCTTTTGGTTAATTTTTTTTAAAATTTTAAAAATAAAATGATTAATAAATGGGATTAAGGTTTTGGATTTCCTATTAATAAAGGTTAGATTTGGTTTTTAAATATCATATTTATTATTTATTCTTTCTTTTGTTTTCATGTTATAAATTTTTGTAAACTATAAGATAATATTGTCTTGTTTTTTTATTTGATGTTGACTGTAATTATTAATAATAAATACAAAAATAATTAAATTATATTTTATAAATATTTTGTTTTATTCCCAAACGCAAAACCCCTCAAACCTTTTTAGATTAAAAAAAAAGACAAAAACCATTTTCCATTTTTAGCCATAATTTGCAAAATTCCTCTAATTATTTGTATTATATAAACTCATATTACATATATATATATATATATATATTAGTTTACATAACACAATACTTAAATGCTTAATAAAAAAAATTAACTTAGTATAAAAAATTAAATTTTAATTAAGAAAATGGGAAATAAAAATAGGGTTTAGGGTGATACGACAACATAAATTAATTAAAAAAAAAAGAAAATAATAATAACAATAATAATATTTGCATGAAAATAAAAAATTAGAGAAAGAGGATTTTGCAATTTGATTGATTGATATTTCAAAAAGGTCCCTATGTTTTTAGCCTTTCTTTTTTGTCCTCCTCATTTTCAGGGAAAATATATTTTATTATTATTATTTTATAAAAACTCTTGCATGTTTATATTATAAATTAATTTAGATTTATTCGAGATTTAAAAAAATTATTAATAAAATTTAATAGACACAAGTAACCTTCTATTTTTTATTAGGTTTATGTCGATTATCGAATAATAATTATTTTAGTTATTTCAAAAAATTTAATAATTAAATTCTTATCAAATTTAAATATCAAATATTTTAAATTTTGACGATAACCTTAAACCATAATAGATCGGGTTAAATCCAATTTTTGGTTTATAAAAAAATTAACTAATTTCAAATCTTTAAAATAAATATTTTTTTAACGTTTCTCTCTCTTTCTCTATCTACAAGGGGACAACCAGCATGTACTATCTGACGCTGTCTTTTGGCTTCTTTAAATAAATAATAATTATTAATTTTTTCCCATTTATTACTAGCCATGTATTGAAAATACCGTTGCTGTAATTTTTTTTTTACCGCTTTAAAGAGGGTAAATTCACCCACTTTCATCAGTCTGCATCATCAGCTTTCTACTTTTTCATCTTTTTCTTCAAATGTTAATATTTCTTGGAACTTATAAGTTTGTTTGTTTTGAACTTTTGAATAATGTTTGTGTTTATTTAGTGGATTTATATTTTAGAAAATTAATGTTAGTTTTTATTATATTTATTTAGTTTGTGTTTCAAGAAAAATTATAACGTAAAGTTATTTTTATATTATATGTTTGTGTTGAGTTTAAAAAATTTATAATTTGAATAACTGGATTAGGTCTAAAAAAAATTTATAATGAAATTAATCGATCCATTACGTCAAGTAATTCATAATAACAAAAAGAAACCTCGTAATTACACCGTTCAAATAATCAAAACCCTAAAAACCCACTATATGAGTGTGTTACTCAATGTATCATTTCTATTGATATCGTTAATTTGAGCATAATACAATTCGTTAAGATATTGTGTATGATTAAATATCTATCGCGGTCGAGATATTGCTTATACCGACATGTTTGAGAACTCGGAAAATCAACCTAAATCAAAGTATCTCTCTCCTATTGTTCTTATAAATATGTTACACTGTACACTCAAAGGGCAAAAGAAAAGAAAAGGAAAACCCTTGAAACCCTTGAAACCCTTCACCCCAACCATGACAGACCCTAATTACTCCAACTTCTTCTCTCCCAATTCCTTCACCTTCATCCCTCTCCCACCATCTCCTCCGCCACTCTCTCCGCCGCAAGCTCTCCCTCTCATCAACACTCTCTCTCTGGAAACCACCGATCAACCTTCCTCCAGCACCACCAACAACCACGAAAACGCCCTCACCCTTGACTTCTGCCTCTCTTGCCCTACCTCCGATCTCGACCTTTCCACCTCCTTCCCGCCGGACCCCACCGGAAAAAACCATCACGCCGACCTCTCCCCCCTCCCTACCCCGATCTCCGGCAAGGGTCAGTTCTGGATTCCAACCCCATCTCAGATCCTCTTAGGTCCTACTCAGTTCTCCTGCCATCTTTGCTCTAAAGCCTTCAATCGATACAATAATCTTCAGGTAATTTATCATTTCATTAAAAAAAACATGTTTTTTTTTTCTTTTGATCTATTTTATTCGAATTTATAATAATTATTTGTGTTAGGGTTTTGATTTAACTGATCAAGAAATGTTCTTCATGTTCTTCATTCCTTTTTTTGTTTTGTTTACCTTTTCAGTCTGAGAAATTGAAGTGATCTTCTGCAAAAGAACTGTTTGAGCTGAGAATTAATTATGGGGAAAAGGGTTTCCATTAAATACTAAAACAAAAATGGATGAAAAAAATAACAAAATTTTCCATTTTTTTTTTAAATTTCTTGGGATTTAATTAAATATCAAATGGGTTTATTTTAATTAATTCGAAAATGATTTATATTTTTATATGTAGATGCATATGTGGGGGCATGGTTCTCAATATAGGAAAGGACCAGAGTCCCTAAAAGGAACACAGCCGACGGCCATGCTACGGTTGCCGTGCTACTGCTGCGCACCGGGGTGCAAGCACAACATCGACAACCCGACGTCGCGACCGCTCAAGGACTTTCGCACGCTCCAGACACATTACAAACGTAAGCATGGAATCAAGCCTTTTACTTGTAGAAAATGTAGCAAAGCGTTCGCTGTAAAAGGCGATTGGCGAACGCATGAGAAGAATTGTGGGAAGATTTGGTATTGTTTTTGTGGCTCTGACTTTAAACATAAGCGCTCGCTTAAAGACCATATCAAGGCTTTTGGACAAGGTCATGGCTCGTTGGGTCTTGATTACTTTGACGACGATAACGAACCTGCATCCGAAGTTGAACAAGATGGCACCGTTGTTCACTAAGATGTTTCGTTCTTTGTTCTTGTATGTTTGTTGAATAACACGTCGAGCGACAGAAGAGAGGTGTGATGTTGGATGTTATGTTGTATTGTGTTATTTGTATATTGTGAATTGAGTTGATGAGTTTGTAAAGAGGCTACGAGAAGTTGACGATTAATTGAAATAAAAATATTTTATAATTAATTATTCAATTTGATTTCTTACTAATTACTATAATTATTATTAAAATTTTGAATAAATATTACTAAAATTTAAATCTATTATACTTATTAATGAATTAAATTTTAAAGGGTTGAAATTAATTTAATAAAACTAAATTAATTATCTAAAATTAAATAAAAATATGATTTATTTAGGTCTAGTGGCATTATTGTAATACTTTCAAAACTCATGTGCATTATTGTAAATGTGCTTTTTTCTCTTCCATAATGGGCCGCAAGAAACTTCATGGGCCCTATTTATCTGAAGCCCTTTGGTAACGGCTCCACCAGATTCCTCTGCAACTCATCCCTAACCTCCGAATCTCCTTTTCTTTGTGTGGAACAAAATTGAATGCTTCCATGGAGTTATCGACGTGTTTAAATCGCAGACTTAGATTTCCCTCATCGAACGGTTCAAAGATCACGGCATGTACGAGCTCGAATACTCCTCCGATCGGTAACGTCAGTTTCCGATCCGCCGCCGCGAAACGCTGCTTAAGATGCCGCACCGTTTACTCCGACCTCGATAATTCTCCTTCGGCATGCGCCTTCCATGGCCACATCACTGGTTCGAATCGTATCGTTATGTTTCTCTTCCAATTTTGCCTTCTTTTTAATCGGTGTTGATTAACAGGGGAGAGTGGGTTGTTTTCGTTGTCGCCGCCGCATCAGGGGATTGACGGCGAGTGGAGCGACGGCTCTGGTGTGATCGTTTACAAGTGGAATGAGAAGGGCAATCGTCCGAACACTGGCGCCGGCAACTGGAAGAGACGGTGGAGCTGTTGCTCTGAGTATGATGAAGATGCCCCTCCTTGTCGCCGGGGATGGCATGTTTCTTATGACGATGGTTTCACTTTGTTTTAGCTTTGAGCTTGGTCTCTTCCAACAATGGCGTCCGTAAATTGTAATTTTTTTTTTATTGAAATAAAATTATTAAATTTCTGGCACCACGGAATCCCACCAATACCGTTCGTAATTGTCCAAACCCGAGCTCTTTGATAAGAGGAAAAAAATAAAAAAATAAAAGCTCTGCTCTCCCTCTCTATAGGCCTTTGGTGTCCCCTCGAGTCAAGAACTCGGGCTCACAATCACTAATCAATATACTTTTCTCTCGTGCCTTTCTTTGTATATTCTAGTGTCCTAAGCAAAAAGGAACCACACTTACCGCTAATAGATATTGTCCGTTTTGGCCCGTTACGTATTGTCATTAGTCTCGCAATTTTAAAACGTGTCTATTAGGAGAAGTACCCGAAGAGAGGAATGTCTTATAAGGGTATTGACACCTCTCCTAGTGGAGGCGTTTTCAAATCAATACGTAACGGCTCAAAGTGGACAATATCTACTCGTTATGGGTTTAGGTTGTTGCCTTTATCGTGTGAAGCGAACAATATCTACTAGTCACGAGTTTAAGTTATTACAGCACCTGCCGTTGTCGTGTGAATGTTCGTCGTAGGTGAAGACAAGAAGAGAATGAGAGGTGATAGAAGTAGGAATTAACGTTGTTCAACCTACCAATTGAACCAAATTTCGATCGAATAAAAAAGAAGAAACCCATCCAAGCTACCGTATAAAGCTAAGATGGCAATCAAAATGCCTTTGAATTGCATTATTTGATTGCAAAGAAAATAGATTTGACAAGTAACATATTAGTTGAACACGACTCTCCACAATAATATGATATTGTCCATTTTAAGTATAAACTCTCGTGTTTTTGCTTGGAGCTTTTCGAAAAGACATCATACCACTAGATAGATAGCTTATTTCTTGATGATCAAGGGAGGATCATATTCTGTAAAGGTGCGACTTTCTTCAACTTAACAATTCTCCTAATCAGCTTAGAAATGTTCGGAAAACTTTCGGTTTCTAAGATCAAAATTGGTGATGAAATTATGGTGAAAAACCAGGAGATTTCCTGCATTCAAGAATAAGAATGTAACAACCAATTCATACACAGCGACAGACCTCTCTCCGATCAAATCTCCAACCACACCACAAAAGCTAATACGATCCGACCGTCTTGAACGACTCATGAACATGCCGGAGCATATCCTGGTCCCGATCCCACTCCGGCGTCGGCGCATTAACAAAATGCGCATACAGCTTGTTCTTCGCACAAGTCACCGATATCAAACTGTGAGTTCCAGCGCCGTCGATCTCATACACGTAATAAATCTGTCCATTCTCATCCTTCCTTTCCTCCGCCGAGAAGCCCTCGGCGCTCGCGATCTGATCCTGCAAATTCACGTCCGATAGCGCTAGGTTATTCAGAATCACATCCTTCGGCGCTAATTGCCGGATTCCAGCCAGGAAAGTTAGGTATTCTTTCTCCTTCCGTTTCTTCGGATTGTAAAATTCGCTGTCGGTTCCATTCGTACCTGCGGAATTAAGATCGTAAAATTGATTTTCGAAACGAAATTTTCCGTTAGAGCTCTTTAATTTAGGGATTTCGATAGCGAAATTGAAATACCTTTTTCGACCTTGGACACTAATCGCTCCTTCCAGCCTTCCGGCACGTCGTAGATGTATTCTGCTGAGTCTTTCTTGCTTGCGTTGCCGCCGAAGCCGCCGTAATTGGCGGCACTGGCGGCGGTTCCGTAATAGACGTTGAAAGCGCCGCCGGTGGCAGCCAGTAACGGTGGAGTGGTGCTCAAGATCGCGGCTACGGCGATGGCGGAGATGGGGGCAGTTAACGAGGAAAGTGGGCCAGGGGTATTAGATTGGAGAAAGGGGATTAAGGGCTTTGGTAGCGGCGGAGTTTGCGACGGCTTTGGGACGATCGCACCGGTCGTTGCCGCGGCGCCGGCAGAGAAGAACGCCAGTGGTGAGATTGCTGTGGCCATAGCGATTGATTTTCGTGGAATTGGGTTTCTGGTTTATCTTGCCTGTCTAAGATTTTCTCCTTATCCATTATTTTTATATTTTTATTTATTTTAATTTGTAGAATTTAGATATTTTGTTAAATACAACTTTTTTACTATATATATAATTTTAAATATATAATTTTTTAAGTTTTGAAATTATCAAAATACACGTAATTCAATAATAATTAACACTAAATATTATTGTATTGGTTAAAATATAATATAATTTACATTAAACACGAGTTATTGTTGTTGTTAACTGTTCTTATACCAAGTTGTCTCGATTAGTAATTTTACTCGAGCACTGTAAAATCGAAATATTTGAATAATTAAATAAATAAGTAATTAATTAATATATATTATGTTCTAAAAAAAAATGTAACCGTCACGATTATCACGTGAACAGAGAACCACAACACTAAAACGTGAATGAATTTTTATTACCCTTAGCCCCAAATTTGAGTTCTTTTATTACGGAAATGCCCCCATTTTGGTGCAGAGTCATCCACTGGGCACAGGGGCATTTTTGGAGTTATCCCTAAAATGAATGGCCGATGATTAAATTGGATACTGACCGCCAAAAAGCCCTAGGTTCAGGCGCGAGCGAGAGCTTCTTTCCTTCTCCGAACGAACAATGAAGTGCGTGGAATTCGTTCTTTTTTCCACTTTCCATTTCCCTCCACTGCTTATATCTTATTCAAATCTTCTCTTACTTGTTTAATCAACCTTTTCAATCGTCTTTTCTTCCATTTTCCGCTTCTAACTTCGATCGCCATGTCTAAAAGGTGAGGTTCTGTTCTTTTGTTTCGATTTTGCTTCTTTCTATGTTCTTGTTGATTTTGTCTGGCAGATGCTTGTTTGTTCGTTTTCTCGTGTATTTTTAAAAGTTTTGATGATTTGATGGCAGATTACGCGCTTTTTTTTTTTTTTTTTTTTTTTTGA